CGACCCCTGGAACAATGCGCGCCTTCACACCAGGGACAGGTTCGGAACGAACCACGGAATGAGCCCCAAGGATTCCGCACATTGCACGCCCGCATTGAGGCCTTGCTCCGAGCGGCAGGCCGCCTCGTGACGGCGTCGCGCCAGCACCTGGTGGCCAAGCAGAGCGGATGCCCAGTCAGCTGGAGAAGAAAGAACATGCGTGGGGACCTGCTCAAAGCTTCTATCATAGTCCTGGATGAGCTGGTGGCTCCAGCCAACCTGGCGGTGTTCAAGGAAGAAGGCTGCGCCATCTGCACTCTCTCCATTGTCCTGGCGGGCCCTGACGATGGGCTCCAGGGCGAAAACGGACTGGGGGTGCCCCAGCGGTGGTGCGCGCGGGAGGCAGAACCTCCAGCTCGGGGCGAGACCTCCTGGCAGGCCCTCCCACGCCCCTGCCCGGCGTCGCCCTGGACCCCCCTGCGCCGCGGGACAAGGATGCCAGGTTTGAACCCAACAAACGCCACGGGGCGATTGAGCGCGACGACTGCGGCAGGAACTTCGGGCTCGACGCGGGGGCATGGGTGGCTCCAGAGACCAGGCCTGCTCGCGGCCAATCGGAAGACAGCGCACATGCGCGAGTCTGCTGCCGGTGACGACTGAAAGCCCATGGGCGAACCGTCACCGACGACGCCAAAGCGTCTGCTGTCCTGCGCACCCTGGACGACAAGGTGATCGCCAGTGGCGATCCACACGCGCATCGGACGCTTCCACAAGGGCTCCTGGTGCCCAAGCCCACGGATTGCGAACACGCTCGGCACTACCATCTCCAGGAACGGCACCGACGAGGACTGGTTCGGAACCAAGGCGACAAGGAAGGGATACGCGGCCAAGTGCGACGATTGCCTGCTGGCGGAACCAATCCTGGAATGGAAAGTTGGGGAGACACCGCTAGGCATGTTCGCCTTCCGCCCTGACCGGCAGGTTGAAGCCACCCTTGTGCGGGACCTGGCGCGGCCCCCCCCAGCTTCGAGGACTGGGTCTGAGACTCCAAAGCGAAGGCATGGCATGCAAGATGGCACTGCGCATGCTGCCCGGTCCAGATTTGGGACGCCCCGCCGTCCGATCAGCCAGCGCCAGGTCTGGGCACACCAGCCAGCGCCAGCATCAACGTTCTCGCGAGAGGCGTGGATCTACGAATGGCGGAGCAGGCAGCCATAATCACCAAGAGGACTGGCACGGATCCACCGGACCCGTTCCAGGGCCCAGCGGAAACCTGGACGCCGCCAACCTACTGATCATGGCCGACAGAAAACAAGCCGCCTCGCCGCTCTCCGACCCGTCACAAGACATCCCTGGGAAGGCGCAGCGGGGCACCGCGGTCGCCGAAGCGGGAGCACAGGTGCATCTCCGCCCCGCCCGTCACGAGCGGCAGCGAGCACAGCGAGGCCCCCCCGCGGCGAGGAAGGTCGGGGGAGCCCCGGGAGCGACGGGCCGGCGTGCCTGGCCCCAGGCGGGCAACGACAGGGCCCACCGACAGACGGAGGCCCACCGATTCTCTGGCAGCAAGGGACCCAGCAGATGGTAGCCCGCCAGCTACCCGACGGAAACGCCCCCCTGGATCCACCAGGAGCGCCCGGGCAGCGGCGGACAAGCCGGCGGACAAGCCAGCCAACGCAGAAGAGAGAGAGAGAGAGGGAGAGAGCCAGGTCTCCGGGCTCCCCCGCCGCTGCCTGAAGGCGGCGCACCCAGCACCTGGCCGCCCGCCCTGCCGGCCACCGGCCCGCCGCCACCACTACCCGACACTGGCGCGCGCCAGCTCAGCACCATGGCACGATCAGAACTGGTGGACCTCGTCGGCTACGCCAGCTCTTGCGCCAGGAACCTGGACAAGGACGGCGACAACACAGCGCCAAAGGCCTTTCTCGACCTTGTGGGAAGAGGACATGGTGCTCGATGCAGTGTCCATGTGGATGGACGTTGACATCCTTTCCGAGTTCGTGCGAACGCTTCGGCTCGGCCCGATGCAGTTGCGCCCCCTCCTACAAGGCAAGGTGGAGCGACCGGGACCGCGCGCAGCCCGCCGGACATCGTTCACGAACCACGCGCCCCCCTCCCGGCCACGCCAACGGAGCCTTCCCTGGTGCTGACACCTCGAGCCGCCACCGCCTCCGGCCTGCCCAGAGCTCTCTCACCGAGAAACAGCGTCGCTGGCACCAGCTGAAAGGATCAGACATCGCCCATCTCATGGTTGACTAGGCCAAACGGCTGCATCACGATATTGATAAGGCACGGCAAGAGCTTGTCCTGGCACGGCGCACTGGGGAGCCATAGGGACGCGGCTCACGAACGACGGAAGCAAGGTGCTGGACCCGCGGGGGATGCAGCATTTTCCTAGCCACGACCTATGGAAGCGAGGCGCCCAGCAGCGGAGTTCTGGCAAGCTACCCCTGGGACGGCAGACGCGCGGCCCTGACCCACGTCGTTGCCTGGGAGATCATTACCAAGGGCAGACTCAGGGCTGGAGTTGAAGGACGACAACCTGCGACCAGCTTGGCAGGACATACGCCACACGGGCGCTGCCAAGTTGACCAACTATCGCAGGCCTGACGGGGCGCGCCGCAGCCCAGCTGCGGGCTCAGCGGCGGCACGCGCCGCTTCACTGGCCACGGGCCCGGCAGGTCCGCCACTGTGCTCGGCTGATGGCACATGCCCGGCAGCTCGTTGCCACCCCACTTTGGAAGGCGCCGCCTCCGCGTCGCCCTCCCGTTTTGCATCCCGGCTGCCTGCCCGGAGTCTTCGCCCAGCCCCCGTTTCGGCTGGGCGCCGCCCTGTTCACGGCTGCGATGCGTGCACTGGCCTTGGGCTCGGCGGCTCCCTCTGGCCGTTCGGCTTTGCCCGGCCTCTTCGCCTCCCTCTCGCGGCTCCCTCCCCCCCACGCTGCGGTCGCGCTTCGCCTCCGCCAAGCTGCGCCGCCTGCCTGGCGCGTCGCCCCACGCCGAGTCCACCGCAGCAGCCCTGCGCAGCCCTCACCGCCTCTGCCCCGCCTCTCGCTCTGGCCTTCGGGGCCTTTGGCGGCCCTGCTGCTCCGCACCTCCCTACGTGCTGGGCCTCGCTCTGCATTGCTGCCGCTGGTACCTCCCCTAGGTGCGCCCGCGACGCCGCCACGCGCCTGTTGCCAGGGGCTGCCCTCCGGCCCGGCCGCCCCGCGCGCCCACCCGCGGCCTCGCCGCCTGGGTGCACCATTTCTCCTTCGCTTCCGCTCTGAGAGGCCGTCTCTCGTCTTCTCCTCCCCTTCTTGCATGCGGGGCAACTCACAATACAGTAGCCCAGGTTGCCTGGACGCGCGCGCACGGATTGCTTCCGCCGCGCTGCGACGCAAACAGAATGTGCGCCCGCCTGAACAGCCATAAAACTGCTCGACGCAGACAGGCCATGGTGCTCCACACAATTCTCAAAGCACCGTCCGTTGAAGTTCGTTTCATCAGCGTCCGCCGTGCCCGCATGCATGCTCTGGCCGTCTCCTCCCAGCCGTGCGTTCGCGTCAGGCATCAAAATCGGTATAGCTCGAGCTGGCCAGCATCTCTGACAGTCCTGTCCAAAACACTTGACATGTTCTTCTCCTGGTCCTACCTAACCTAACTCACATCGTGTGGTTCCATCGATGCATACCCAACAATAAACAGCATGTCCATCACTTTCCCCTACATCTGACAGCTCCTAGCCTGCCTTCACACCACTTCGGTGTCTGGAAGATCTCGGCCGTCCAATACTGGCGCAGGGAACGGGCTCTCACGTGTGCGGCTGGGCCGCGCATGCGGTTACCGTCCCCCGTCCCCCCCCCCCACATTCCACCTGGATTTGGGACCGCTGGTCCCCCTGATCCGCTGGGCTTTCCTGATCCGGACCGCCTGACTCCCTGCTCGACAGGGCGGCGTCCGCTTCCTCCTCCCCCCTCCTCTTTCTCTCAACTGGCATTGGGACCGCTAGTCCCTCCTGATCCCGCTGGGTGCCCTGATCCACCCGGACGCGTGCTACCTCCGAAGCGGGGGCTGGCCCGCTGGGCTGGCCTTTCTCCTCCCTGTCCGCTTCTCCCCTCCCCGCTCGCTACCCCACCTCCCATGGCGACAGCGCCCGGCACTGCGCGGCTCCGGCCCGGTGCCGGGCGCCTGCTCCTTGCCGCCTTGGCGGCCCCGCTGTTCTTGGCGCTGCGCGGCTCAGGCCCGGCCCTCGACACTGCGGATCGGCAGCGCAACGCGCTTGCCAGCGCAGGGCAGACCTTCTTCCTGCAACGCACCGGCATCCTGTCGGTCATCGACGTCAAGTTCACGGTTCGCCCGACTGCCGTGCCTCTGGCTGCGGACCCCCATGTCTGTGGAGTGGACTACCACGACTTGTACTCCTGGCATCACTCTGGTGGCCCAACGTGGCTCTCCTACTTCGTGGTGCTCCTCTTCCTCTCGCGCGTCGACCTGGTCAAGTGGCGCGTCTCTCCCGCAATACGTGAGGCTGGTGTTCGCGAAGCGCCGCTGACGGCTACACCACCGACCCTTTTTCCTCCCGGGACTTCACCACCGGGCTCCTGTCCAAGGTGTACCTTTTCCTGCACGTCCCGTTCGGCACCGCCTGTTCCCCGGGCCCCGCCCGCTCCTGGCCGCATGAGGTCCCACCTGCTCTCGCCCCCTCTCTGTCAATTAAAGCTGTGCGCGTCCCGCGGAGCTTTTAGCGGAAGAGGCTCGCTCTCGCCCTGCAGATCAAAAAGTGCCCCTGAAAAACACTTGCATTAATCATAAGCGCCAGTCCAGTTGGCCTGCGACTCATTCCTGGCGCCCGTGGCCATCGAAATCTATGAAACTGTGCGAACTTACCTGGCTGGCAACTCAGTCTCCTCTTACCTGCCGTGCACGTATTCGTTCGTAGCCCTACCACCGTTCACGATCGAAACTGCTTAGCAATGTCCGCCCTCCTTCCCTCCTGCCTCAACGAATGCACGTTGCACGAACATACCCTCAGGCGCTGCATGT